GTACAAAAATCCTGCAGCCCCATTGAAGTTCATGGCCTCTTGGTCTACATCCCAATCAAATGATGCACATTGAAATCCCTGGCGATACCTCAAAATGCAGCTGCAGAGGTGAGGCCATCAAAAGGGTACCACACATTTGCTTGCTTGATGTTTCATTGAGACCAAATCTATATAGTGGAATCTAGGTACCAATGCTTTGTTGTTTTTCCAGCTCCGGCAAAAATCTCAAAGAACTGGATGGGTTTGGGCGGCTTCTCAAACCCGCTCCACGACAAAGCAGGACCTGTAGTAAGTGATGGTAAGCGCAATCCCGCAATCCTTTTAATGGTCCATGGATTTACTTTAAAAGACTGGCACATAAGGACCTGACGATGGCCACTAAAGCCTAGGCCGAGCAAAAGAATGGCATCATTGTCCAGGTTTGCGTGCACAGTCTTTTTTGGGATGTCCAATGCATGCTACTAGATGATACTACATGTAGGCAGGAGACCTTGGGGCATCCCAGTTCCATCAAATTGTGCACAAGAGAAGGCATTGCCACCAAGTGTCGACTGCAATATGTTTGGAGCCAAAAATCTTTGGTATAGTATCGCACGGAGTTCAAAACGTTCAAAAGCATATTGCATGAAACACACCCTTCCGTGATACGGCAACTGAACGAAGAGTGCCACACTGTGTGCTAGGAGGCTGGGCACCTGCACTTTGCGCTCGAGCCCACCAAGTATACGATCTTCTCCCCATCGGCCTGGCACTCAAGTGGTCAGCTGCCATGGTGAAGTTTTGATCAATCGATCATGAGCAATCTGATCACGAGAACCAATTTTTGGGGGGTTCCTCTCAACTTCTGCTGGAGCATAAAAAGATGCCAGAGTGAGTGCAAAGAATTTTCCATCCACGCGGTTCCAAAGTGCTTTAGGGCACAAAAGAGTTCCCTGCCATCGTTTTGAAATGCAAGGTTCTAGCCATTGCCCCTACTCTACCAATTTAAATCTTCTGGATGCCACGACTCTATGCATGGCTTTGCACCGAGTACTGTTCACAGTACATGCACAGCCATCCCACCGCAACATGCGCCCCGCAGTTGCGGTCGCCCCTTAAGATCAAGCTTTCATTCTGCGGCTTTGTAGGCCTCAGAGTTGGCACAGGAGTGTAAATCAATTAAATCATATGCGGACTACCCGAAAGCACAAAACACCTCACGTGAACCATCACTTGCGCACACGCAGACTATTGCAGCTGGAGCACTGCACGTCCCAACTCCTTTTGTTCGTCCAGGCTCTTGCCTGCCTCCCGGGCAGCCTTCACGGCTTTGTGGTATGCTGAACTCTTTCGCGAACATTTCTGCTTGAACTCACCATCAGGCTTGGCTGCAGCCTTGGCCTTTGGCTTGGCTGCAGGTTTGGCCTTTGGCTTGGCTGCAGCCTTGGCCTTTGATTTGCCCGTTGGCTTTCGAGGCCGAGCGACCTTAGGGCGATCTGCAGACCCAGCAGCTTCCCCATCATGTGGCCCAGTGCCCTCACTGCCTACATCCGTTGGTTCACCATCGATCTCTTCCATTTCATTCTTTGGGTCTTCAAGTGGAGCTGCCCGCTTGCGACTGGCTGCTGGCCTCTTGAATGCTGCTTTGGCCTTGCCCTTGGGTTTTTGCTCTTGGACATCAGCAGGCTTGGCTTTTGGCGGGCGACCTCTCTTAGCATTCGGGTCCTTGGGTGGTAATTGATCCTTTGGTGAGATTGGCATGACGCCATTCATGGCTGGTGGTGGCGGAATCTCTGGAATAGCACCAGCACTGTTGGGCTTCTCATTCCCATCTTTCTTGGCCTCCTCCTGGGATGTACTCTCTTTCCCTTCGAGCCCTTTCTCTCCGCCATTCCCAGCCTCTTGTTTCTCAACCTTGGCTGACACATCCTGTGGGGAAGCCTCGGCGTGAATGTCCTTCACGCCTTCCGCCACGCCTTTTTGATGAGGGTGGGCCACAGCCTCCTCACTTGTTGGCTTGACGATGACATCAGCAGGCTTTGCAGCAGACTTGCAACAAGGCTTGTAGTTGCCCCAACCCAATCCCATTCGCAAGTGTTCTGGCACCGACTGCTTTTCCTCCTCCTCCGGACTGAGTGCAGCCACAGGTCGTGCTGCTGCTTCGTCAGGGAGGTCCTTTTGGTCAGCAGGCTCCCAGGGTGATACCGGGGAACGAGCCCAAATGCTCCCCAAAGAAGCGGTGGTAGCAATGGATGCCTCGGAAAGTTTGCGTTCAGGTGGTGCAGGTTGATTGGGATGAACCATGACCGGCTTCGTCTCTTCACACATGTACAGCTGCGTCTCCACTTGGGTCTCCACATTGTCCAAACCTGATAACTTTGCATGTCCAACTATTTTTAGATCAGCTAATATACATGCGTGATCCTGCGCGCATATCTTATATAAAGAAACGTGTTGTACCACTTTCGCTTTGAGGCTCCGACTGATTGCCGGCGCTGCCGCAATTGCCAGTGAGGACTTTGGTAGGGGAGTCCACTGTTATTTTTCTGCATCAGCTGGTCCAAGTGCAGTTGCATTTTCTGAAGTTCACGTAACTGTTTCAGTTTTGCGGTTTCAACCTCCAACCGCTTTGCCACATCATCACCTTTCGATGAAGGGTCCATGGGACCACTTACACATGGAACCGCCTTCAGAAGGTTTAAGTCTTGAGCAAAGGCTGAACATACCCGACACTCAAACCCATCGGACTCCTGCTTCACCGAGTGGAAGTGGGGTTTATCCAACTTGTCCGGCGTGACCAGGGCAATTGGCACACCTGCCAAAAAAATGGATCCGGTTCTACCAGTCTAGATAGTGCTCAAAGGTTTAACTAAGCTCAACCCCTGTCTGTCCCAATCGAATCCGGTTGCCTCGTGGAGAAGGCGTTGACTTTGCGGTCGTTGACCCGCCATCACCTAAATTTTGAAGGTTGATCATCAAACATACAAGCCATGTGAAGGAGGCACAGCATGGCATGCAAACAAAGCACATGTCGAGGGTGTTGGGGACATTAATGTCGATGGCTTTCGCCTGACATCATCACCATCAGGACCACGTGGGAGCTCAACTTCGGCAGGCAGATCCGCAACACTATCCGTAACCTGGCACTTGAGGGCTGGTGGTGGATGGGGTTGAGGTGGCTGCGCATGATCCTCACTGGGTCGAAAGAAACGAAAGAAAACCACCATGACCTACCCTTTCCCACCTCAATGTCAATGTGTTCATCATCATCCAATGGTTCTTCTTCACCCCCTTCTTCGCCACACTCGTTGGTGGCCATGTTGTCCGCTGCCGCTTCATCAGCAGCTTCCCCTAAGATAACATCAAAGTTAGGGGCTGAATTCAGGGGGAGTGGAAACAGCATGAAACATCAGCAAATAAACACATGCAAGGAACCCTCTGGTAGCGGCACCCCCCCTGCAATGTACAATTCACGCATTGCAGGTTCGCGTGGAACGTGTGGCCTTCTAGCCGCACGGGCGAACTCGGTCACGAGTCGTCGTAGACCCCACGCGTGGCCCTTGATGATGCTTCCTGGGAAAAGGCAGCGGGTTGGAGAAAGACTGCGTGTGAAATGACAGTGCTTTCCTATGACCAACGACAGTTTTCTCCATGAATGCTGCTATTATATGGTTGCATGCAAGGTTCCATTGACTGGTGGTTTTCCTCGAGGCCTCACTCTCCAAAAAAACTCCTCGACACACTGCTGGATCTGGTGTACTGAGGGTCGCATGCCTAGGCCGGGTACACTGGGCCAATAATTTAAATACTGTCCATGGTCCATGAAGCATATACAGAAGCAGTCATGCTGCACGAAACATGTTAAGACGAAGTGCCCAGTTCAAGGATTAGAGGCCGCAACAGCTCCGCGTTGTTCACAACGTCGCGCCGACACAAGTTAGCGTCTTTGCTAACATAGTGGATTAGATCACCTTTCTGTGCGAGAGTCACCAGCCATTCCATTTTTTCCCACTCTGCCGCAACTGCTCCCATGGCAGCCCGAAAACACCACAAAAAGCTGATCAGCAAGAAATGTTGCTCGAAAAGCGCTCATGTGACAAGTGCATAAACCTCTTGAAGTCACAGCTAGCAAAAGGCTGTGGCAACGTCATGCATTGACAAACAGGTCAGATCGACTTCCTTGAACTCCCCCACAAGAAAGCCAGTGTATATTCCCTCAGGCCCTGAGAGCAAACAGAAGGGTGATAGGTCACAAGTGGGATGCTCGATGGGCAAACCGTTGACCCATGGCAAACCCTGCCTAATCAGTCAAATCAAAGGCCAAAGATCATGCCACCATCATTGCGCGTCGTTGCGCCTGTCCGAGCTTGGGCATCTAAGGTACATTGGAGATGATCAGTGCACACTCAAACATACACCCCACCTCAAAGATACGGCGGCCCAAATCCCATGTAGCCAAAATGGCTGTTGGGGATCAGCAGAACCCACATTTCCGCGCGTTTCTCCAAAATGTGTTCGTTTCAGGCCCAAACAGATTTAAGCTACAAATCTCCATTGTACTCATTTTTAGGTGACGTTTGAAGCTCCTGGTAACTGGTATATATATTTATACTATAATTAATATATATATATATATTATATTAAAATTATATCCTGCTCTCTATCATGTCCCAACTCCCAAAAGAAGAACACAAAGAGCAACAAACACATGAGATCAGACATGTATAAAATATGTACATTTTGAATACATGATGGTTTGACAATGAGGGCGGGAAATTTTATTATTTCTATTTTCGCCATCTGCAGTTTTTTGGGTGTGCATGCAAGTTGATGCACCATCAATCTGCCAACACTGATAGTATCGTGCTGAGAGTCCGCTCCTCTCGTCGTGATGTCTTGTCCTGATTCGTTGCCACTAAAAACATCTCAAACCCAAGGCCACCGCAGCCCCGGCCACCTCTGATCATTCATTCACCAAAAGGCCTAAAAAAGGCCCCAAAAAGGCCGGGTGGTTCCTGTGCCTCAGGAACGAAATTCAAAGCAAAGGTGGTGAGAGCAAAGACCGACCTCAGACCGGTCCACCCCGGGGTGTCGGTCGTCCGACCGACACTGAGACACGGCGGCTCCGGGACCCGGTTGGTTCGGTCGCGGAGCCGGACTCAGTGAGGCTCCGGTTTGGGTTCGATGAAAAGAACGGCAGGTCCAAAGGCTGGAAAAGCCAAGCTGCGTTCAACCCTGCTGGCGATCAGTTTGTTTTATTTAAAGCCACAACCTGTAAGTTAGCACACAAGACCCCTAAGTTGCCCAACAAGGAAAGGCACACAAGGAAAGCTTGCCAAAGTCAGGGGTCCTCAAGGGGGGTCGGCTGAATCTTGGTGACCTCCAAGATCCTTGCTTTGCACATTATGCTCAAAGCCAAATGCACTGCTCTCCTTGGCTGTTCCTTTTCGTCGAGGCGCGCCAAATCGATGGAGAGGAAGTATAGCAACAGGCCAGCCGAGATGCCATACCCGAAGCACGCCAGTGTCTTGAACCTCGATGGACATGAACCCTTCTTCTGAAGTGTCTTTAATCGGCTTAAAGGGAAACGGATGATATGTGATGAGTCATGCGATGTTAGTTGTTGATGAAAGAGATGCTAGTGTCACGGCGTGCATTCGACAATTCTGAAGCAACATGGAGTCGAGATGCCCCCAAACTCAACAGGGCAAACTGGGCAAACATATGATAAATAATACCGTGTAAGTTGACACGGGGAGAATAGGAACCGTACACCGTTTTCCATGATTCGTCCATATCTGAACATCTTCGTCTCTATAACCAAATTGATCCAAATTGTATAGTGCTGAGGTCAAGGTCTGGGTATATAAACCCTTTTGAAAGTGGCCTCGTCATGTTCTTTTTCGTTGACGACCCCCGCCCAAGGCGTCGTGCAAGGAGCGAGGTGTGGACGTAACGGGGAGGATGGACGTGGCGGTTAGTAAGGGCCCGACACACCCGAAAACGGGTTAGTGGGTTCTGTCAGAATACCAGCATTGTTCCCCGAAGCAGCAGCTTGTTTGTCATTCATGACAAAAAGAAAAGGAACAATTACCATCTACTACCATGCAGGCGTCGCCAGTTCCATGAAGGGTCACAGTACACGGTTACAGTATGTTACAGTACACTCTGATTGAGGCTTCTGTTCGACCGGAGAGTCCAAGTACCTCCAGGGACTTCTTTTCAAGTGAAAGTCTGACTGTTGCACTGGCTGTATGAGGATCCCTTTGAACACAGCAATAATGGTTGGATAATGTTGGAGAGCACTGAATCACAGAATTGGGTGGCGTGTGCACACAATCCCCGACCAAGTACTCATGATTGCTCCAGAGTATGTAGAATGTAGAATGTGAGACCCTTTGAACAAATGGCCGTTGTCCCATTGTTCTTGTTGAGGCTTCGTCTCTTTTCAGGATGGCCACTTGAGCGAATCAACCATACACAATAGGTTTAGCATGGATTTGCCAAGTGTAGCCTATTCTTCTCTTTGGTGAAATCTACAACGAATGGCAGTATTAGAGCCCTTGACGATCGCGTAGTCACATTCACGCACAGCAAGAACACGTCTATACAATTGGCAAGGAAGGCCTGTTACCCTGATGGCTTCAAAAATCTTCAAAACAGGCATCCAGGGCACAGGCCCGTTCTCAAGCCCGGGTTTTTCGCAACTCCGGTCATGTCTTTCAACATCGGTGTTTCGCCGAACCCGCACTCGCCGAGTTCGCTTGCGGCACACACGGCCAAAGAGCATAATGTACTTCCTGAACATCACATCCACTGAGGAGTCCTGCGATGGGAACACTGAGTCGCGTGCGAACACGGAACACGGGAACGATGCCCAACATGACATGCCAAACTGCCAAAGCCGTGGGGCATCACGCGCTTGGCGGGCCGTGTGGTACGGAAAAATGGTCAGAAGTCTTCTGCACCCAAGCACCCAACAGAGCTAGAAGAAAGCACTTAGGTGATTGGCAATGGAAGGGAATACTGTACTATTGTACTAAGCTCTTAAAAGAACTGAAACAAGTACATTGGACTGCAGGGACTGCAGTTCTCCCACTCTTTTCTTTTTTCTATCCAACTTGGATGCACACAGAATCATTCAAAAACAAACAACTCAATGCACAAACATCACAAAACTGGTGTTGACTTTGAGTTTACCCTGGTCAGCAGCTCAAGATAGCTTCATCGAACAAAAGGCGATCCACATCGATCAACGATTCACAAATACTTCACGGCGCCAATCCGTGGAGTGCCGTCCATCGGAACAGGGCTGCAAAGCCAAAAGAGCGTGTAAAGCATGGTCAAGAGGACCTTGGAGGATAGACGCGGCCGCCATGTCATGCGACGCAGTGGAAGAACATGTGGGACGAAACAAAGGAGAAATCGACAGTGAAAAGCATCTACCGTAGGTAGCAAGAAGAGTCAGCTCAGCTCAGACATCACAAGGAGCCCTACATGGAGCAAGCATGTGGTTCCATTTAAGTCCGGCTGTCCTCGCCATACAAGAAACCACTTTCCCTCAAAGATCAGTGATTGCAATGATCTATATATCTATATATCCCCTTTCAAGAACCTACATAATTCATTACAGCGTCCTCTCCTTCGTCAAGACCATGGCCGGAGTACGCCGGCCGTTTCTTCTGCCAGCATGTCCAACTTTTACTGTAATTGTTCCAGTAAGCCTCTTCCAAGGTAATGAAACAATGGTATGCTATCGACAGTGTTATATCATGCAATGAGAAAAGTTAAAAGCTATGGGTATCTTGGCTCGGTTCGAGTAATAATATGCCTCCGATGTCTTTGGGTCTCCTGCCAAAGTTGGGGTGGTGCAGGAATTTCCAGGATGTCTAAAACAGGAAGTTGCAAAGGTTTGATATGCTGGGCCAAACAATATGTGCCAAAAGAGATCAAAAGGGAAGAGTCAACGCTTCAGGACATTTGGAAGTCACACTGCTAAACAAAAACAATTTTCGGGTCAAACCACTCTTTGTTCAGGTATGATCGAACCACCTTTTCATCCAAAACTTCAATGGCCTGGCTGCCGCTGTCCCTCGGATTCTGCTAGCCTGGTTTTGGCAAAAACGAAACAAAACTCACCCCAAGAACCAGTGTCTGGCTCACCCGCCAGCACTTTCGCACCGTCGAGATTCCAAGGGCCTGACCCCAAAGATCAAGGAGCTCACATTGTTGACTATATTCCCTGCGGCCGTCGCGTGCGGTCAGCCCGCCACTGGATCGCCCCAGAAGTTGGCTTCACATCGGCAAAAGGAATGAAGAATACTGAAGAACTGATATACATCGAACAATGCGGACTTGCAGTAGTTGTTTCCAAACCTTCCAAACACTACAGTATACTACAGTTCAGCTCAAACTAGGTCGTGATCTTGTGATGATGACTTTACTGAAGAGTCAACCAGTTGTATCCTTCAAGGGCTTTCGCAGGTCCATTCCACCAGTCGAAAGACCCATTCCACCAGTGTTTCAACGCACTTCGTTCTCCACTGCGGCGGCGGGTCCAAGCCAAACAGGAGAAACTCTACATTGTTGTTTCGTCGTTTTGGGTGCCTGTCTTTACAAGGTCCGTACAAAAGATTGGTCACTCCCACAAAGTAGATGAAAGGAGAAAGCATACCTGCGTTGGATGGTTTTCGGCAAATTTTTGCAACCCCACCCACAATTTATCTTCACTCACTGCTTGGGGTCTAAACCACCCTGTAGCAGCTTAAAGTTACTTGGAACTGGCTCAAGATTCCAAGATCCACAAAGATCCACGGACCCCGGATTGAAGCCCATCTGCCTGGGGGGGTTGTAGTGCGGTGATCTGTTTTGACAACCGCGCCGGGCCTAGCAGGGAGTAGAAGAGATCCTGAGCAGACTTCACCATTTCAGCACTCGCCTCCTGTTCGGAAGAGCTGCAGTTGGCAGTTGGGCTGGTCACCGCTGGACTGGGAGAACCCACGACGTCTCATGGGTGAGATTGGGAAGACACCTTCCTGCGCCACATGAAATCGCAGCACGCACAATAGATAAACATCCTACTTTTATGTTTATATATAGCTTTATGATACAAGAGATGCTCAAGACAAATTTGCCTCACCAGCGCGTCAAAGATTATCCAGCTCAGGTAGACTCTTGTCCGGAAACGGGGAGCAGTCCCAGGGAAGCCGCTCAGGTACGGTTCGAGGTTCAAGTAGAAGAAACTGATAGAAATTGAACCAATCTAAAGGGTAGTCGAACTCAATCTAAGTCATTGAAGGCATGGGTCTTCTTTCACTATCCGTAATTACAAACGAGTCATTGTCCATGTCTATGTTAATGACCCAGTAGTGGAACATGGTTAGGATTTAGGATAACAAGTACAGTATATAACCACTATGAAAATACAAAAGTGATTAAATATTGAACTATATATAGGAACAACATGGAACAACTAGGTGGAAAGTAAGAATCCATCGACGGATGGGACACCAGCATACAAATGTCATGAAAAAACAAAATAGCTTCTGCCTTCTGCTCTGAACCCTTTTGTCTCCTCTCGCATTGCCCAAGCGCCCCACCGCCTCGCGCCCATGCGGGTCGGTCCTGGTACTGCTTCTTGAAGCTTTCCGGGACTTTGCTGAAGAGCGCCAATAAGTTTTTGGTCAACTCCTCGGCCCCCTGGCGAGACGTCCAGGCAAGACGAGGCAGGCGAGACGAGGCTATCGGAGCCAGGGACTCGAGTTGAACATCACAGAATTCGTCGCGGAACCTGCGAAAGAGGGAATTTTTACATTTCTGTCCACAATGTTCGCATACAAATGAAGACCAGTTTAAACAGTTTTGCTCTGAGATTCAAAGTGCTTTCAATATCTGAACCTGAAACCTGTTTCGTACCCCCTTTTTCTGCTGAACGGCAACATTGTATTTGCAACATGTTGCTTTGTGCTTCTGTGCAGGAACATCGTTTTGCAGCCATCGATCCTGTGTATTTTCCTTTGAAAAACAGCATGTCTCAACCTGCATGAGGACCCAAATCTCTCTCTTTACAATACCCTGCTGAAAAATACGTCTCAAACCTTGCATTGAACTTGCACCTGTTGTCCAACTGTGACACAGATCACCTGTGCCAGATTCTGCCTTCTGGTAGACGTCCCAGTGGTCTTGCATATGTCTAGCGGATTCCATGATGAGAAGGCCAAATCCTGATAGCCTCGAGCAATGCCGTGGAATACATTCACACTTGATCTCTTGGGGTTGCTCAAGCGACCTGAGGAAAGAATATGAGAGACTCATATAGCATTGCCCAAATAATATGGGTGTGGGGAAACAACATCCGAGATCCAATGAACACAAACCAAACTGAGCCAGAAGATGGTGGTACATCCCAGTTGCCCGGCAAGTACATAATCTGCAATCTACAATGCTAGGTGTCCAAACTTGACCCATGATATGAATCCATCATCCCAGTTTGATTCCCTTCACGAGCCTGGTTGAGTTGTTATGGCTCAAAAGTAGGGTACCCCCTAAAGCTCCTGTAAATTTAATATAACCAAATGGAGAACATCACCAAAATCTGAAGGACCCAGGGTCCTATAGCAAATTGTTTTGAGCAACACTCTCACTCTCGCGTCCAATTCATTGCAACATGTTCTACAGTATCGATATCTTCTCTAAAAGGGTCCTATATCATAGCTTGGTGATGTCCGTTTGGGAAGAATAGAGAGGGGTCGATTTGGTTCTCCCTATTCTTTGTTCACTTGGGATACCTATGCCCTCTATTGACCGTCATTTCTTCGCATCACTCTCAGAGACCCGTCACCCGAGGTCATCACAAGCCGAGCATGCCCATGGAGGCCATCCTCAGACAACGCGGCCGTTCGAGGCCCGCGAACGGCCGGTGACCAAGGGCCGCAACATGTTTCAAATCCATGTGTTACTGGTTCAAGGAATGAACATATTGTTTCTCCCACTTGGAGTTCTTTCTGCTAGACTGACCGGATATAGAGCGATATAGAGTTTTTCGGGCTCCAGCTTTGGCAAACTTGGGAAACTACCTCCCTTCCCCCTAAACCATAGTCAAGCTACAATCAACTGGGTGTAGGATCAATACGTGATGGATCCAGTTTATTTTGTGGGAGCGGCAGCAGTAGGTCTATGGTGGACCAATATTTTTGCAACACCGGAGACCAGTGTGTCTGTAAGAGAATCCAATGCCTTGTGAAGATCCGCAGAAAACAAAGGGATCTAACAATTCTGAGGTCATGTTCCAGCCCTGGCCATGAACCACTCTCCATTTTGTTCCGCGGTCAGCTTTGGCGGAACCGGCTGCTGTGCGGCGCGGCGGCCGCGGCAAAAGGCAGGGAATGATGCGTGAGGGCCTTGGAATCGACGGTATTTGCATTCGATCTGTAGCAAGTTCACAGCATACGTACACCAAAATAGATAAACATAGTCATTTACATATACATATATATATATATTATATATATAGTCCATGCGTGTAGTTAGTTAATAACAACAAAAGCAGCATAAGAGGCAAGAACAATGAGATGACAAAGGCACATGTATTGGACAAAAACTTTTGTAACACCATTGTCACAGAGTCTGCGACATCGAACTTTACACAATTCCAAATTGGACCCACATTCGCATTAGAAAACATGTCCTAAACCCTCTCTCACCAACATATCCAACATCACTCTCTCAACATAAAACTGTGCATGTACCAAATGTCCACCAAATATTCGCAATATTGAAAATCCAGCAGCAGCAAGCAACACACACAACATAAATCACAACACAGTTCGCAACCAATACGGACAGTGTGAATAGAGACAGAAGACGAACCCCGGAAATAATCCGGGTCGCCTTGGCTATATCTCTTGCATGGTTGGTCTTGAATTACGGGGACATACGGGGACCCCGCAACCAATGAATGTTCAGATGCTCATTGATCATTTCTACTTGTACTATCTAGGGACCTTGGCGGTTGGTGACTTTGGTCAGAATCTGACTCAACGCCACTGAGCACCAAGGTGCCAAAGCGCAAAAGGCAGCGACAGTTGCCTCTCCATTTGGAGGGCCAACTGCTGCAGGACCTGGGTCGACAAGGAGAGTTCTATATAAGTTCCACTCTTGGATTTTGAACTCCAAATCCCACATGACAACAAGATCTTTGGGATGCATCCAAACATCTTGAGGGTCGTGCCTCATAAGCTGCTTTTGACTTGCTTGGGGAGTCTTGAGTATATAGTAATGTCATACCATAGTGCCATACGGGTAGGACTCGCAAAGATCCCAAACTGGTGGACCGAGCACTGGCACCCAGTTAGAATTCTCACCATTGGTTTGTCAAACCATCATTGTTTGATAAAGTGAATGGCACTATGGCGTAACCCACCTGGATTATGCCTGAAAAAGGATCTGTTAGATTCGGGCTTTAATAGAAGGCCATATAAAATATTCGAAAATAGGTAAAACACTTCTAATCACTACATACATCATCATACATCGATCTATTTGTCAATATGTCAGCTAATTACCTTCACGGCTCGATGTACGTTGATGGACGAAATCCTGCATCGATAAAGCAACACACGTGGTCATCCGATAGTACAGACCACCGTGCCCCCCAACTCAATGTTGTCTCATGTTTGCTATGTGTGATGCAGGATTTGTTGTCGTTCAACCTTTTTCTGTTTGACGCATTTCCTCAACTCAACGTTAAAGAGGGAGCGCGAGGGTTTATACATGAGTTTGTTCGTCCAGTGGTGCAGGATTTTGTCCATCACCAGTATCTCTCTCTCTCTCTCTCTGGCTAAGCCTGACTCGTTCTGGAGGGCTGAAACTCTCACCCACCTTTCTCGGCCGAGCTCAGCCACGGCACGTGCCGCTGCGCCACAAGCTCTTGGACCGTGGAGGCCCAAACTCCCTCGCTGCCGAAGAGGAAGAGCCGCGGGCCTCGGGCCGGGCGTTTAGGGTGAAAAACCGGTTTTTTGAACGGCGGAGGGAGCCGTGGAAAGCCACTGGCCTGTTGACCCCCGTTTTCATGGGGCGGCTGGTCTTCCGGACTTGGGAGTCGTGCTATGTTGAACTAACCTTGATTGAGGCATCTTGACGCTAGGGCCGCTAGGGAGTTGTGATCCACACCTGTTGGTTTACCATTTACCAAAAGAATCCAATAGATCACGTGATGACTTTCCGGAAATAAAAGGGGACGTGAGAGGAAATTGAAAGGGACTGAGTTCGAAGCAATGTCAGAGAGAAGCTGGAACATTGACTTCCCAGCCTAGCACCTCCGTACTTCAATCTCTTTTCAGAGCCCCACAGTGGCCTCCCTCCGGCCTCCATTCATCCAGATCCTCCCTAAACGCGCCCAGAACAGCCCAGCGACACCACGCACGAGGGCCTGCAGCGACATAGATCTCCTGCGCCGATGCCTCCAGCCGCTTCAGAAGACCTCCGATGTCCCGCGTTTCCGGTCGCGTCGCCTTGAGTGGATCGCGGTCAGGTGGAGGGATGGTGGAAGAAAAAACAACACATATTATGCTTCTTCTGCGTTTTGGGGTGTCATAGGAATGAGATGAAGAAACTGTACAGGTAAGAGGTATGTGAAATCAGCCGAAACAACAGCTGTTTCGGTTGGTACCTTCGACGGCCCAGTGTTGTCTCCCAATGATTCATGCAGATTCCTCGACGCTTCCTTCACAGGTGGTGCGCACCATGCTGCGCTGTTTTCGGACCGGCGGATGAAAGGCACCTGCTTCAAGACCTTCACCAGATTGTCGTACCCATTGGTGCGGTGCTACTGGAGCCGCCTTGTACAGCTGACCTCGGAAGGAGGTCTTGCTGGCTCATGGAAAGGATTTTTGTGGCGCCCATGATAGTGGATCCTCCGGCCACGTTCCACATCCAAAATAGTTCTAAAATGTTCTAAACATGTTGAACCTACTGTGTATATTACACTCCTTGCAAGAAACATGGAAGTGGAAGTCCTGGCCCTGGAGGGTAGGACGAATGTGTAAACATGTGCTGTTCGTATCTCAAGTGGAGCTTCTCCGAAGGCCATCGAAGGGTCCAGGCAAAGCCTTCCCTCTGTGAAGTTGATCGAGCCACCACCTCGCAAGAGGACAACTGCTCCAGGACGGGTCCAGGCAACGTTGGGGGAGCCTGAGGCAGAGAGGTCAATCATGTCGATCTGCTCCCCCAACTCAGTCAAGGTTGCTAGGTTGCGACGCGATTGTTTATGATCACTTCCGACTGGGGTTGGAGGGTTGCCTTGTGGCCTTCTCACACTGAATCCAGGGTGATAGCCATAGCCCTGGAGCAAAAGTGGGGCCCAAAATCATGATGGGAACTCAGACTCAAGCCTCCCATACAAACCAACATCCAGCACCGTGGGATCATGGTGCTCTGCTCTTTGTCATCTATTACCCTATTGTGTGAACCTTAGGCACGGCGATTGAACCCAGATCCTGACCCAAATCTGGGTTGCAACACGGCAAGCGTAGACTACGACCATCAACGACGCTGGCAGCGCTCAAACATCTCAGACATGCTCGTCTTGCGCACTTCACGCCTTTGCACCTTTGCACAGTTCTTGGACTATTCATTCACACATCATTGAATGATGTTGGATGGTTGGGCGACTTCCAAACCTCCACGCACAGTGGAGCATTATGGCATACCAATCCTTGTTTCATGCCTCCCACTGCGCCCCATATATCACGTTCCCATCCACCAAGCAGGAGCGCCCCAGGCCCTCGCGGCTTTTGCTCGGCATGAAGATCCGATCTTTCGGATGTGCTTCCTCCAGCCTGGTCAACTGTAGTGAAGACGGTCCAAGATGCTCCAGTGAAGGTCTTCCAGGGCGGTGGAGAACAACACGAGAACAATGCACTGCCCTTTAAACCCAGGAGGAAATCACCCGAACGCTGCGTGCTTCGTCGAAGGATAGCGGATTCGGATAGCAATGATCGCAATATGCTTCGTCGTGTCGCGCGCCAATGAGCCAATTCTTCGAAGCAAGCTGTGCGCGCGCATTGCGCACTGCGGGCAGCCAGGCAGCCGTATTCGTGGAGGTGTTATTGGATCTTCTGAACGACCGAAATGACTTCGCAGCCACGAGCTGCCGTTAGTCCCATGCAGCCTCGACACAGCAGGCGCTCCCGTCACACAGGATGCACCGCTTGAGATGGCGGATCCCACTGACCAGAACTTCGATAGTAGATGATTGAATACCTGCAGTCTCCAACAAAACGTGGAAACGAGTCAAGCCCCTGCCTTTCCAATATTTGCGCAAAAGGGTGGGTGCTTTAGAAGACTTACAGTTCGATGATGGCAACTCTGTTGGGTCTATGCACTATAGGAGGAGTTTCATGGAGTTTCTTCTTGTTGTGACGTGAAACTCTCAGGCGAAGGCCTCAGGATCTCTCAGGTGTCCAAACAAAAACATCACCAAAAACCCCTCGCCACATGGTCCAGTTCTTCCCCAAACATCACCCGGCCTCTCTCCACGATATCCTGAGACCCAATGTGGAAAGCGCCCATCGATGCACACCAAACGGTTCTGCGTCTGAAGGACTCGTACCTTGCTGGGGCTTTCTTCCACGCACAGCTCGCCACCGCCTGTAAAGTCACCCACTGACAAGGCGTACTGCACAGAGAAGTCATTTTGGTCGATATGCCTGGTGATCCAAATCAACCGAAGACGGACCGGGTCTACGAAGACCATTTCGAGAAAAGATCGCGGGCGCAACCGGCGCACATCATTTGGAACGCTGGCTGTTTCAAGTTGTGTTCTGGTTTTTTAGGTGGTGTCTTCTCAAACCGAAACCACCCCAGATCCGGTTTTCTTGCTCTGAGCAGGTGTTTTCCACAGGCTGAGGCGACGTGAGCCGTCTTTGGGAATCAATTCTGATGCCCCAGTGGCGGGCTGCCCCGGAAGTTCTGGGTCACCGCCATGGATGTAAAGTGGAAGGCAGCAGCTTTTGGAGAAGCACCTGCAGGTACTCTGAGGTCCGAATTGATGAAAATGATGGGGGAACCGCCAGCGTTTCACTGTTGCATATGATTGATGTAAAGGGTAAGTTTAACAGTGGTTTTTTTTTGTATAGCATGGTATATCATATACAGTAATTGATCAGCAGGATTGGGTGGGGCACCAGCAAGGTCACTTTGATGCAGAGTCCTTTCGCGGTTGGGCCTGCAAGACAAGAATGACGAAGTGTCACTGGATGTCGTTATAATTTTCTGGGATTGACACGGTGGCGTGCCACCTTCCTGTTCTGTCCAAGACGTGGATTATCGTGTCGTCAAATCATGGATTGCTTCAGTGGTGTCCTCGGAGAAACAAATTGAAAAGCTAAACCAACCAGAAACAACATCCCACAACAGGAAGCTCAATAGGTGAATGGATCGGTGAAAGGCTGAAGAGTTTGGACTTGTTTGTCATGTTTTGCAGCTGGGGATAACTCTGTTTCACAAGACATCACTGCATGACGATCTTCAGCCTCACATTCAAAACAAAACACTATAGAAGTAAGCATTCACCTGCTCCATATATCTCCATATAAGGACCCTTGCACGAAAGGACCTCGGCTCCCATATATGGTGCACCAATAGCCCAACACAACTGCTCACATCCTCAAACCTCATGCCGCTCTCATGCGCCTCTCAAAAGAGCTTCCGCCAAAGCCCAAAGGCGACCCAAGCTGCGGCTTTCGGACCCCCAGGAATCTGCCAACTTCGCGGCCTGGGCAACTCAGTGGAAAAGCCAGCTATAGTTCACTGTTCGGCGAATTATGTGCTTTAAGATCCAATTCCAAGCTGTTGAGCTCACTGTTGGCTGTTGGCTCACCGTTGAACCTGTTTCCCAACATGGCTTTGAAGATCTGTTACACTACGATTCACTAACTCATGGAACAATCCTGTTCGTCTTCCCGAACATCTTTCGGAGCGACCATGTTTCCACTTCATTCCTCGGAAGCATGTTACGAGTACAGTGAGACAAATCAACCTATTTGAAGCGGGGTGATGAGCTGCACATTTCCAGCCTGCCCGGCTTTGAGCACGAGATAGCCAGAGGCATGCACCGAGGGCCTCTGGTTCTCCTCAAACCTGCGGCGGCTATCGGTGGTTAAGGAAGTGACACAGAACAGATCAGAACCGTGAGGTGCCACATCAATCATGCCACCAACGGAATTGCCAAAAGAAAAACGTGATCGCCATCTCAAAATCCTGGAGTGAGAGTCTGAGGGTAGCTCAGTCTTTGGTTCCAATACAACATAATGATGAGCACAAATGCACGTCGATCTGCCTCAAACCAAAACGGATCGCCCTTCCAAGAACCACATAACAAGGGATGTTCTTCACAAAAAGGAAGTGATCCTTGCCATCTCGGTTGCCCTTCAAGAAAACTCCTTGTTCCTCAGCAACATTAATGACATCTACTCAGCCGATCTTTGAGCGGCTAAGCCGTCTACTAGACCGAGCACCCCGCCTGATGGTCCTCAAGTGCTCCAAAAGCTCCCTGACGGCCTCCGGTGGCAGCACCATCCCTTCCTCTGGTGGCAGCAGCTCTCGCGGCACCGAGCTCCGATAGGCCTCGCATAAGGCCCTGAGGAGCTCCGACCGGCGTCTCTCCTCCAGGGAGAGAGAGAGAGACGTCGATCTGAAAAGGCGAAGAAGAAGGTGGGAAGACCGCCGTAGAGCAAAAGGAATTCAGGAGTGTCCGACAGATTCCATCTTTGGCACGTCTTTTTGAACCATTTTTATAAATTGGAACCCCAATTCCGGGACGCCAGTCTACATGGTTTGCCCAAACCCATGCCCAATCAATCGGCGTTTCTCCATCCTTTTGGTCCGAATCGACCCAGCTGAATCAACCAATTCGGCATGTCTGATATGTCTGATCCAACCACCAACGTCGGGTCCCGAGTCAGTTGTGAATGAGTGGAAACCCATGTGACCCGAGAAAATGTGACAAACCGACGTGGGTCACATGGAGTCTGACGACGAGGTATCCGAAGAGAAATCCTATGAGAAATCCAAGTAGAACATGGCGCTTCATTGTTTCACGAAGCAACTTCCTATTGAATCAATTTGATGAGCCCCCAAATAGATTGACTTGTCACACTTCACCCTCAAAGGCCTAGTAATTACAGAAGGCATGTGGACATAATTGGACATGCATAGACAAATGCTCCCTCTTCATTCTGAGGCAACCCAAGTGATGGTATGCTTCAAGTAGGGGCACCTCTTATAGATCTTTTCTTCGCACCAGCTCCAGGCAGATCCTTCCTCCTCATCTCCTCGCACCAGCGAGCAACGGGATCCCCCCAGCTTCGGCCCGTTGGTTGGCGGGACACACTCCTTGAAGCCGAGCACGAAGAACTCCTCCGCCTTGACAGGACGGAGCTCCTCTCCAAACTGCCTCAAGCGTGCTTCCATGTCCTGGACGGGTCCAAGACTGCGTCCAAAAAACGGCTCAGCCACTTGCCAATGTCGAACACTTTGAGTTGGAGATGGGGATGGTGAAGCAATATACTCAAACAAAAGGAACACAAACGTTTCGTGGGCAAACAAACTACATCAAACGAACCACACAAAACACACACTTTAGGCACCAACCCCACAAGCGCCAAGGGAAGCCAAAGCAAAACCGAGCGTCTTCAATGGACAAAGCTCCCAGTTGAAGTTCCAAGGACGGTTGAAGTTCCACTTCGCTCCAGACGTCCTCGTCCTCGGGCCTGTCCTCGCCCAGGTCGGCCTGGCAGTGACTTCACCGGGGTGAAGAAACGTACAGGACATCGAGGAGAAACAATTACTAGGAACATCGTACGCATGGGATCTTCTTCCGTGACATGAACTAATGAACTATTTGTAACCTTTGAAACGAGGTCTCTCAAAACACTTCTTGGAACCAATGACTACCCAACCAAACGGAGGCAGGCAAGATAATAGTAATATACTGTGTATATTAGGTGTATATATATATACATATTTATTTCAGTGAATCCAAAAGCTGGCCCAGTTGGATCCTTGCTTCAAGCACTGTTGCCTTCCTGGTCCATTGAGATCACTTCTAATCAGCACCACCATGGTTCTTGAAAGCGGGTTCTTCACTGATCTTCATGCCACTCAGGACCGCCTACCACAAACAAAAACCCTTGAATTGGTGAAGTGTCAATGCTTTTGAAGTCTACTCCCCAGCGCCTCCACTTTGACAGGTGTTGTGTCTTCCCCTGTCGCAGTTGCCACTCTCTCACTCGCCGGCAGCTTGCGAGATGCTTGGAAGATCATGCCAGTGTTGCCCCTCTTCTTGCAACGAGCATCTGTCAGTATGGCCTCACTCTCATAGTAACTGCAAAACGTGTGACCAAAGGCCAGGTCAAACAGTTGCCGTATGGCTTAATGCAAAGGTTGGGAAGGCAGCCGACGTCCCGGTACGTGTGTCCCCGACTGACTCGGCCCACCGACTGACTCGATGGGTCAACCAAATCACGGCAAAATGAGCAGGATCATTGTTGGATATGATATGCAGTATATTATAATATGTGGATCTGTCAAAACGTGAAAATCACCATTTTTGTGTTTGCGCTTCAGTTTTGTCCTTCCATACTCATAATTACTCTATCTACCTCGTCTATCTGATGTGTTTTAACGTGTATATGTATATATATATATTATATTGTCGGTGTCCTACGCTGTCACTCGCAAAAAAGGCAGTGGATCAGGACATGAGAAAACGGCAGTGGCCAGGAAACAACGAGAAAATGGACCGCACAGTTTGCCTCTAGTATGCCATATCAACCCTTGTACTGGGGGTCCCTAATCTCTGGCTACTCCTAGAACCCAAAAAAAATGTGTAAATTTTGTGTATATAAATGCATATACTTACATCTATCCCAGCCCCTCTGACAATGGTTGGAGGTAGTTAATATAGTATCAACACTCTCCCGGAGCGCTGGAACCCACGCGGGGTTCACCCGTCCTCTCGTCCGGCTGGACAGCTCAACTCCCGGGTCCGGGCCTGACCATGCTGGTCAAACTCTGGCATGCGCCCCAGGATCTTCAGCTTAAAGCCATGGGCCTCCAAATGAGCTCTGACTTCCTCCCACAAAGCTTTCGAGCGATTGTGGGTCCAATCCCACTCCACCACCAGCTTTCGAATCCTGAGCAAAAAAAACCAACGAACACGCGGCGTCGAACACATAAAACTCTTCGGCAGCCGAGAACCCCTTGGCCCTTGACGTTGCTGAAGGATGCACAGCTGGGAAAGTCTTTTTGAAACCAAAAGCCTGACGCAATCTGATGCCTCTTGACAATGAGAACCTGTTATGATCTCTTATTGTATGTTCTGAGCAATACTGTACATACCTGATTGCCTGTTAGTTGCCCCGTTTGCTCAATGAAACCCATGTATATACGATATTTACATATATTTACGGTGATTACAAATGTATAGGTATATAAATGCCAGTTGCATACTCTGCTTTTGCTGAAAACCGACAGGAAGGATGTTTAACGAACAAGTATGACACAGTTTCTCGTATCACACACAACACTGGGTGGAGTTCTTCGCACCCATTTGGACAGGCTTGCCATCCTAATCCTCCGGGCTGATCTCCCTCCAATCCGACGGTGCTCAGCACAAAATCGTCCACCGTCTTCAAAAACCGCTCAGCACCTTCGGCGTCGATCTTCACCTTGACGATTCGAAGGGGATTTCGCCGAATTCGAAGGACGAAAGTGAATGGTTTGGTCTTCACCTGACGATTCGAATCGGAGACGAGTCCTGAATGGTTTGGGAGAACATGTCCGCCTGATCCTGCCTCTAGATGCTTGATGGGAACCCCAACTTGAACAAGCATTCGAATGAACCCCATGAACTGGCTTAAATCTCCAAACAAACAATGAGTGACATGTCCCCCCACCCGAAAAACGAAGAAACCATCAACCACTTCAGGCGGACACGGAGGCTGGTCACCTCTGTGGACATTGGGTCTGATTCCTTCCGGTCTGTGTTTGTTCGACCGGTGAACGACCAAGTCACCACTGTGGGCTTCTGCTGAAGGATCAACTCTTGCAACGCGATGCAAGGAACTTGGATTGCCAGGTTGCTGTGGCTTCGAGTGTCGAAGAGACTGGCAAAGAATAACCTGGAGAAGAGGGCCATGGGCCTTCGGCTGGCTTGCGCTAGTAGGTTGGAGGCCATTGCTATTAGGCTCGAGATCGCTGGAGGCCATTGCTTCTAGGTTGGAGGCCATCGAGGAGGAAAGCAAACCATGTTGTGGATTCTCTGTCATCTACTCTCCAATTATAGTTTGGTTGTTAAGTGTTCTAAAGGCTTGTTTATTGGGATCGGGATCGCGGGGCGCCCATTCTTGACCGGTGGCCACCGTAGCAGGCCTCGATGGGTTGTTGGTGCCGCGATGCCCAAAGAACTCTCGACCAGCACAGTTCACATCGGCCACAGCCAGCTGCAGCAGCCGCACGCGCGGCACTCCGCGCGGCACGGTGTGGTTCTCAGACTCGGCGAGGTTCCGGGTAAGTAGTTCGAAGGTCACCTGGTGAAACGGTCAGTGGTTTTCACTGACCTGGCCGGAAACAACGGTGGGACGGGAGGTGTTGAGTAGAAGAATCTGGGAGGTTGAGCAACTGGTAAAGCCAGAAGACAAGGTGCTTGGGCTCCGCAGGGTGTGGCCTCTCGGATTGACCTGCGAAAAGGAAGAAACACATGTGGTGGTGCACAAAAACATGGCTGGAAACCCGCACCTCAGCCCAGGGTATCCAATCAAAATTGGTCGATCTGGCCCACAAACATGCACAATGTTACAAATACACTCCGACTCACTAACATGGAAGTGGACACCACCCTGTTTGGTATTCGGAAAATGGTCTTCTCATGGCGGCCACACCATCCACTTCCATGTGTTCGTCGGAGAGTACAACCTGGTGGCAGGATGTGGTTCCACAGATATTACCGATACATCAGCTGTGCGAAGCGCCAAGGCAGAAGCAATGCCAACATGAGCTCCAATATCAAGCAGAACGTCACCCTGCGAAAGCACTGACGCCTTTCCAGGCGCAAAACCATAGCAGTTGGCATTAACCACATCTTTCATCACGCTGACCTCACTCTCAGGCATGAGCAATTCCAACTGATTCGAACCCAGTGAAGGACAGGCACTCCTCACGAGTCTGGGCTCATGCTCGGTGTCCTCAACGATTGGAACCTGGCTATGCTGAAGGTCCTCCAGGACCTTCAAGAAGTTCTTCAGGAACCTAGCTGGCTGAGGCTGGCTGAGTAAAGACAAAGACTCACCAAATCCAAAGCATATCTTTTCTGGATCTGTCCTATTTTGGCCTTCTGGGGTTTGTCAGGTTGACACATGTAAACACTATGTAAAGACCAAACATCAACAACAAGGACGCTTATATTCATTTGCTTCATGGTATGTCTCTGAACAAAGACAATGATGGACAAATAGCCAATGGACGTGATGGCAGCTCCCATGAACTCCGTAGTATCAAAAGAACAACATTCCTAGAACGCAAACAACACGAAACAACTATGTTCATTAAAGAAACATAATCATATCAAAATAACAAAACATATATCAATGAAATAACTTGTTCAACTCACATGAGTGTGGCCAGATGGCCAGGAAAAAAAAAAAAAAAAACATAAATGATGACCAAAAAATCGGTGTTCGCCTGTCCGCTGGATTTTTACTTTAACATGTTGTGCGCTCCGTCGGTGTGTCGTTTCCAACACCCCCAGTCGACTCCTGGGTGGTGTTGGAAGAAGCCGCGAGGGCCGGACACCAGACCGCGTGAGAGTCGTCGCCCAACCTTCGTGAGACCGGACACCAGACCTCCTTGCTTCGGATGTCATAAAACTTGTCTGATGAGACATACCGACACCGGACAACAAATTGTTGTTTGTCTTCTCATTGTTTTGGACAGCGAGCCGTGCGAGTATGCAGTATGCACGAGTCCGGAACAGACTCGCTCGACTCGTCGATGCTCTCATATTCGCAAATCGTGCTTGCTGAGAAATGATCAGCAATTCCTGAACCTTCAATCGTAGCACTTTTTTCTGGCGAACGAAGGAAATGAGCATTTGTTGGAGTTTCGTCGTGTTTTTTGATGAAACAAGCGCTTTTTAATGTGTTTGATGAAACACTGAAGTCTTCTTGGGCTAAAGGCCGAAACTCGCAAAATGCGCGCAAATTACCGCAAAACGAGCGCAAACTGAAAAGTGGCGAACCACGGCAGCATAGGTTGGATATGAGAGGGATCCATGTGCGTTTTTTGAGTGTTTGTAGCGCTTTTTGCTTGAACGAACACTTGATGCTTGCCCCAATGTAGCTGGACTGCCCGCGGGCACCATTCACGCACGACTTCACAGAAGCACGAACGACTTAACCCCAACGCCAGTATAGAAGGATAATAAAAGAAATTACTTTACTTCGAGTGATCCCCACCATGGCATTTCAATCATTTGTCTTGATGCCATAGTGAAGAGCATGTTGCCATGGTCGTGAGTATTGTAGTTCTCGATTTTGTTTCTGGGTCCTCCGGTTGTGTGCTGTGGTTGTGTGTTGTGGTTGTGGTTGTGTGCTCTGTTGTGGTTGTAGTTGTGTGTGTGTGGTTGTGTGTTTGTGGTTGTGTGTTTGTGATTGTGTGTTTGTGGTTGTGTTTGTGGTTGTGTGTTTGTGGTTGTGTATGTCGTTGTGTGTTTGTTGTTGTGTTTGTTGTTGTCTTCGTGGTTGTGTTTGTGGTTGTGTTTGTTGTTATGTTTGTGGTTGTGTTTATGGTTGTGTGTTTGTAGTTGTATGTTTGTGGTTGTGTGTTTGTGGTTGTGTTTGTAGTTGTGTGTTTGCGGCTGTGTGTTTGTGGTTGTGTTTGTAGTTGTGTGTTTGTGGTTGTGTTAGTGGTTGTGTGCTTGTGGTTGTGGTTGTGGTTGTGTGTTTGTCTTTGTGCTTGTGGTTGTGTGTTTGTGCTTGTGCTTGTGCTTGTGGTTGTGATTGTGTTTGTTGTTGTGTCTGTGGTTGTGTGTTTGTGGTTTGTGGTCGTGTGTTTGTGGTCGTGTTTGTTATTGTGTGTTTGTGGTTGTGTGTTTGTGGTTGTGTGTTTGTGGTTGTGTGTTTGTGGTTGTGTGTTTGTGGTTGTGTGTTTGTGGTTGTGTGTGTTGT